AAAAGAAAGAAAAGGAAGTTGGAGAGCTTGCAGAATTTCTAGCAGGTCTGGAATACCAGACCCTGAATGGGAAAAATCCAGTCTTAGGCAGGTGTGTTCAAAGGAGACCATCACTATTGGCACCAAACACCCCATGTTATACCACTGACTCTGACCTGGATTGTGAGCGTTGCCCCCAATAGTGCTGCCATTGTTGTTTGTGGAAATGATGCATAAAGGCCATCGGCTCTTTCTAATGATTCTGTCTCCATTCCTGCTGCTTGTCTCACAATTTTTTCATTCAGAAAAGAGCAGGTACTTTGTCACTGACAAAGTCTAGATGGCATGCCCATGTTCTAACTGCAAGAGAGGCTGAACAAATAAGTATCTTGTATTTTCAATGTATAATACAAAGGGATTGTGCCTCTTAAGCTGGATGTTGAGCAGCTCCACCCCCACACTACCCAAAAGAAAGAAAGAAAAGAAAATTCCACTAATCTTTTGTTTTCAATTTATACTAGGAGTATACGTCCTATAGGCCTAGTTTGATTTCTAAGCAAGTTTATTTAAGATGAATAAATAATGAAGACTATTGGTTTGATTTCATTACTGGTTTTATAATCAGTTGCTTACTTTCTCTTCTATAATTATTTTTTAAGATTTATTTATGTATGCATACAAGAGCTGAGGTGCAGGCCAGAGTTGTGGGGGGTGAGAAGATTCACCAGAGACAGAACGGGGAACAGAACAGGCAGATTGGCTGAAATACACTGCTGAGGAGAGCAGCAGGCGAGACAGGAGAGGTCTGCTGCGCCATGTAGGGTCACCTCCCTGGTGGGGGATTGAACTCATGGTGCAGTGGCTGCGGATAGCTTCATAGTGCTGGCACACAACACCTTGCACCACCAGGGAGGCCCCTCTTCTATAATCTTAACTCAGTAGACTCACAAATTATTTCTCTGATACCAAGGAAAATCAGGTAAAAGAGCAAAACCTTCCTGATCTTGTGTGCAAGTAGCGGTGAGAATTCAGATTGTAGACCTTGCTGATGTATGATTAATCTTCAATAAAATGCTAATGTATGTGACTATAATAGTTTAAGGTGATCTGGATAAATTTTGTCTCACTAAAGTTGATAATTTTTTCTTACTTCAATTTTTAAAACCATATGAAATATTTGAAAAAGCAGTTAACATAATTCCAATAATGTCAGCAATCCAAACACTTAGCATGTCTTCCTGAGCATAATAATGTGTGTTAAAAAATCAATGTAGATTATGAGTCATGAGTTTTCTTCCTGAGGATTCATACATATCAGGACTTTCTTCTCAGTTCTCTTTAATTAACTGTTTGGTGGTTTTAAACTTTGACTAATTGCCCTTTCAAAAAATAGGTTAAAACGAGTCTTTAGAGATAACTGAATGCAATTAAAACTGGTAGTGTGTTGTTTAGATAAAACATACTGCCTAATAATACAAATAATTGACAAAACTTTCATTTTATTCTACCCTTCATTCTAAGAGGTACACATTTAACCAAATAAAAGTGCAATTTAATATTAATCTAGAATACATTATTTAGCATTAAAACTAAAATAATGGCACTAAATAGCTAGACTAACAGTTTGAATTTATTTCTACCACTTAGTTACCTTAGGACCTTGGAAAAATTGTCACCTATGGGCTTTGGTTTCTTCATTTTACAAACGAAGGGTTATTGTGATAAAGTGTTATAGTAAAAATTAAATGAATAAATAGAAGGAAGCATTTAGAATAATACCTGACATGTGCCAGGCAAACAAACAAACAAAAAGTAATTTGCAGATTGTTTTCTCAGGAATGTTGATTCATGTCTTTCAATTTTTTATTTCAACTTAATTTCAGATTTATAGAAAACTTGAAGGAATAGCCCACTTTTTGTGACTGGGAACCAAATGTTAATATTTTACCACATTTGCTTTATCCTTAACTGTGTCTTTGTGTAATGATTTGTTTTCTATTTAGCATTTAGCAGGAGGCTGCAGACATGATTCAGGCTGCAGACATGATAACCTCAAATGATTCAGGATATCTTGATTAAAAACAAAAACATTTTCTTACATATTCACAGTGTGGTGCTAAAATCAGAATATTGTCATTGATACAACATCATTATCTATAGAATTAATTCAGATTTTGGCAACTGTTGCAATATTGTCTTTCATAGCAGAGGAAAATCCTGATTATACCTTTTATTTTGTTGTCATAGCCGTTTTTTTAAAGATTTATTTTATTTAGGTACACATACAAGAGCTGGGGTACAGGCCAGAGATGCAGGGGGTGAGAGGATTCACCAGAGACAGAGTGGGGGACAGAACAGGCAGATTGACCGAAGTACAATGCTGAGGGAAGCAGCGGGTGAATCAGGAGAGGTCTGCTGCGCCTTGTGGGTTGCTCCCTCACCGGCCGGGCATCGAACTTGTGCTGCAGAGGCTGCGGATTGCTTTATAGTGTGATGCTTAACCCCTTGCACCACCAGGGAGGCCCGCCAAGTGGTAATTTCTAATTCCTTCATTTCTTTTATAGTAATTAGTGATTAGTTGACTTTCTATGGAGTTTCTCTTCTCTCCCATTTTTGTATTTATATAACTGTAGCATCAGAGATTCTTATTTACACATTGGATTGCAGACTGTTACTATAATTTTTGATGCTTTAATTATCCTTGATTTGGCCAGTGAGAGCCCCCTCAAGCTGGCTCCTGTGTCCTTTTGTTATATCCCAGTCATTCTTAGAGCACTTGTTTACTTCCTGGCACAAGATGTTTCAGATTCATTTTATACCTGAGCTACACCAGCCCTGGAATCAGTCATCTCTCCAAGGATGCTAATTTATATTTTAAGGAGGAAAGAATTTATGTATCTTATACTGACTTTCCAAAGTAATATTTATTTATTTATTTATTTATTTTTATTTTTATTTTTATTTTATAGAGGCATGTTATTTATTTATTTATTTGTTTGTTTGTTTGTTTGTTTGTTTTGTTTTGTTTATACATGCACTGGGTACAGTCATAGGCGCGGGAGGGTGAGAGAATTCACCAGAGCCAGAGCGGGGAGCAGAGCAGGCAGAAGGACTGAAGTACACTGCTGAGGGGAGCAGCGGGCGGCAGGAGAGGTCTGCGCGCCATGTGGGACCCTCCTCCGGTGGCCGTGGAGCAGCCGGGGATCGAACTGGCGTGGCAGAGGCCGCAGGCAGCTTCGCAACCCAGCGCTCAACCGCTGCGCCACCGGGGAGGCCCAAAGTAATATTTATTAACTGATGAATCTCAGGTGTTTCTTCAAAAGTGTTATTAATACTTTAGTTTTTTTACTCACTGTTCCCTTTCTGTGCTTGGGACTTGATGCTTCTAATATAAATGAAGTTTAACTCCTTATGGGCAAATAAATGCGATAGATGTTCTGAGATAGGATAGAAGCCTGGGAATTAAAGAGAAATTTGGGGGAAAAGTCAAGTTTGAATAAATAGGAAAGAATAGAGAGGGTATAGCAAAGATATGATGCTAGGAATAGGCATATCTTATTAGGGAATTTCAAGGAACCCTGTTGCTTGATGGAGATGATAATGGTGGTAATTAATGGCTAGTTGGCACCCAGGTTATTGGGAACTGGAATACCAAGCTGACTCATTTATAATTTTTCCTACAACAGTGAAGAGTCCTTAAATGTGGTAGTTGAGTAATCAAAGAGTATGTTTTAAGAAGTTTAATCTGATGGTGTTTTTTGCAGAATATGTTGGCCATCAGAAAACAAACTGGAAAAATATTAAAATAATTGAGTCTAAGGCTGTATGTATATAAATTGAAAGGCATTTGGAAAATAATTTGGAAGGAAGAAATGACTTAACTTTGTTGAATCAGGATCACTGGGAGAATGGGGAACTCATAAAAAAATAGAAAATTAATGGTTTTATAGGGGAAAGAAAAAAATTAGAAATAAATTATTTAGAGAACCTCCAGGAAAAAAGGTTTGGTGATATTGAAGTTTTTTTTTTTCTGTAATAGTTGATTGAAAGCCATAGAATTACTTTATAAGTTTTCATGCAAAACAATATTGTTAAAAAATTCTTATTTAGAATCATATAATATTATGGTTATTGGATACAGTGATGTCTTCTGAATTTCATAATAATTATTAGAATTAGATATTTGATAACTTTTAATTTTCACAATTAAAAATAGGCAGTTGTTTTGGTTGATATATTTTAGTATATTCAAGCACATTGCCAGTCTCAGATCACATCTCTACATTGGAATTTAGATTTTTTATTTGAAATGTATGACTCTTGTTGGCATTTGGGGGTGAGAAATTGTTTCCAAGCATACCACCATTTGATTCTTTTTGTGTTCACCAAATTCATGTTCCCATAACTCTTTTTGAAAACATACATCATTTTAAACTTCAACTTTGTGTAAAGAGATCATCTGAAACTAAGAACAATTTGCAGGATGTTAAAACCATCACATATCATGACCAGGGCATTCTTTGCCATATTGGTTGGGACTAGAAGTAGAAAGTTCCTACACCAGACATTCCACAAGAAGTGAGAATGAGTGTTCCTGAATAGATATTTTGCCATTTTATTAATTTTTATAATTAAACCTATTTCCGTCTTCTCCAGACCTACTGTCTTCTTGGTGGATATAACAAGAAAAATCACACAGGTTTGTTATCTCTCTAGCTACTATCTCTTCAGGCTTTCTGAACTGGCCTGAATCCTAGAGGTTACGTCTGAGAACGAAACCTCTTTCCATCCATTGGATACCAAATAGGTTTGTTCATTTGTTTGTTAATAGGTTAATATATACTCTTTCTAATTAAAATCTGTTGAAAGAAATTATTACATGAAGTAATGTATCAACCATATAATGTATTGGGATAGTGCTTGGTGACTGTCATAATTTCTGCTGCTACAGTTTATAAAAAGGAAAATAAAGTCGGTTCTTTTTATTGGGAAAGAAGATTTCATGTTATCTGTATTTGCAGGCTTTCTGGCTCATATGCTGGAGGAATCCTTGCTGCGGGGGTGTTTTCATTTTCTCGTCTAACATGGCAGTGGTCCATTGCAGCAGAGGTTTTTAGCTTAAACAATCTGTTTGTGGGGCTGCTTATGGCTCTTACTGTACATTTTGAGGAGGCAGCAACTGCAAAAGAAAGATCAAAGGTAACCTATTTTGATCAAAGTGAAATCACTTTTTGTTTTAATTTTTAGACAGATGCTGTATTTCTTTTTTAGCTTTGGTTTAGATGCTGTTTTATCCATTCTGATTACTGTCAAGGTAATCTAGGCATGTTGAGAGAGAATATAGCCTCAGTTCTTATGCTGTGAACCATGATAACCAACATAAAACATGGGACTTCTGTTCCTCCTCAGAGTTAAGAAGTTGTTTGGAGAATGAGAGCATTATGAAATCCCCCTTTGAGTCCTATGAGAGAGACAAGACGCACTGGTTAATTCCATTATGTGTGTGTGTGTGCGCGTGCATGTGCGTGTGTATTTGTGTGAGTGAGAGAGATCATAAGATTCCAAGCTTTAGACTGACCACCTTTAGTTACATGTAACTATATGTCATTATGGTACATTGACTTACTGTGTGATTGCAAAAAAAGGTAAAAAAATATGTAATTTTTTAAACTGAAACGAGAATCAAATGTAAAGACAAAGTGGTTCAGAAAAGATTTCAATGAAGTTTAAGGTAACACTATCATCAGAATCACTTGGGATGTGAAGGAATCCTGTCTTCTAAGTGGTTACAGTTTACAATCTGGAAAGTACCCACTCATCTTAGGATGGGCAACCTTGTGTTAAAGAGTACGGAAACAAAAGAACAGTGGTTAATCTGTGGTTTTCCTGAACATATCTGTGATGCTATTAGAGTTTATTTTTTGTTTAAAATGAACGTTTTCATTAAGACACTAATACATGCTCAAAAAAGCAAACATACCTCCTGTGGTGAACCATGTTTCTGAATAAAGTGTTATATTTCTTTAAATTAATAGAAAAGTGAAGTAGATAGAATTGCTGGCTTTCATTTGTGTATTTTACTTGAATAAGAATCATACAATATCTTATTGCTGTTAGGAGTTATCTAGTCATCATGCAAGACTTTCTAAAACTTGTGTGAAGATAGTCATTTAAGATCAAACTGCAATGATAAGAATGGGAAAATCTTCATTAAAAATGATAAATATTAAAAAATGACTACTAGCATGTCAGAGGTTGATTTTTAGCTGAACCAGTGGTACAAATGCTTGGTTTTTATATAAGAAATAGATTTTTACTCTTGTGCTTCCTTAGAGTTTTAGGTGAATTTTTAACTTAGTTTTTTTTTTCCTTTATTTATTTTCAGATAGCTAAAATTGGTGCTTTCTGCTGTGGCCTTAGCTTATGTAATCAACACACAATAGTACTCTATGTTTTGTGCATAATACCATGGGTTCTCTTTCGACTTTTAAAAGAGAAGGTAGGTTTTTTAATTTTATAAAAATGAAAATTTGTAGTATTTAAGCTTAATATACTATTTTTGGCATTAGAAAACATAGGGATGTATTTATTTATTGAGTTTTATATAGAGCATAAATAACCTTAGGCCCTAACAACACTGACTTAAAAAAAAAAATAGGATTTACAAAAATTATGCAGTATTGATTGCAGTGGCATCTGGTCTGTTTCATAATGTTCTTACTGATTCTAAGCAACACCTTCATGAAAATAGGCTAAGAGGACTTAAAACAACAAAAGCAAATTTCCTTAATTGTTTTATCACACATTTTTAAGAGAGGGGCTCGTGCATTATTAGTAATACTTTTTTATTCATCCAACTGTTTGTTGAGTGCCTGCTTGGTTTCAGAGGCTACTGTAGATACTAAAGGTTCAGTTCTCAATAAAACTCACCACCACAGATGTTGTGAAGCAAATAATAAAATCTTTTACAAATAACAGTTCTGTATTCTCAGAACAGATTTTCCTAGAATTAAAAAGTATTTATTTTTACTTTGCCTTTCTCTGAAATAAAAAATGATTATTCATATAAATGGGAGTATTAAATAACATGGGAAAATGACTTTGTTAGGCATTGGGAGATGCAGATACAAGAGAAGGCAAGGAGCTGAGTTACACACAGCTTCCTGTGTGATGATTGGAAAGAGAACTCTTTATTCTGTCAGTCTTTCTCCCAGAGAATAAAACAGTCTCTATACAAAGCAGTGCTGGAGTCATTTTATTACTAATTTGTTAATTATACTTCAGCTACATTTTTCTATCATTTTATTATAGGTTACTTATACCTAGCTATAACCAGAATTATAAAAAAATACACATAATAAAATTAATACATAGAAATAGTAAAATAATTATACCAAAGTTTTAGGCAATTGGCAGCAAAACAAAAAGGGTAAATTGGCGATTATAAAATTTTAATTATGTATTTTAGAAAATCAATAAAAGGAAACCATAACAGTTAACAGGAAAGATCAAATTTTTCTTAGAACTGAATTGTCGAGTCAGTCATATAAGACCTTTGTAAGGGAGAGTTGAACAACGTAACAGGCGGTATCTTTAATAGTGATTTCATAGAGAATACAGAAAGTGCTCTATATGGTCTTTTATTATATAAGCACTTGATAAAAAATGTAGATATAACATTAAAAAGGATAACTTAACAAAGACTTTTCTATGGAATACAATAAAGTCTGAGGGGACCATCATATTTCTCATTTGAGTTGATAGGTTGCTAGAGATCACGCCACTTAGACCAGCTTCTTCCCCCCGACCCAACTTCGTTTTTCTCTGTCCTGCCTCCCCCCAATTTGTGAAGATATTATTGACATTTAGCATTGTGTAATTTTCAAATGTACAATGTGATGAATTAATATATGTATATACTACAAAATGATTACTATAATGACAGTTACAGTTGTGTGTATGTTGAGAACTTTTTTTTTAAAGATTTATTTATTTATGCATACAAGAGCTGGGGTACAGGCCAGAGATGTGGGGGGTGGGGCGTGTCTCTGGTACAGGCCAGAGACAGAGTGGGGAACAGAACAGGCAGATTGACCGAAGTACACTGCTGAGGGGAGCAGTGGGCAAGTCAGGAGAGGTCTGCTGCGCCATGTCGGTAGCTCCCTGGCCGGCTAGGGATTGAACTCGTGCTGCAGAGGCTGCGGATTTGCTTCATAGTGTGGTGCTTAACCACTTGCACCACCCAGGGAGGCCCTGTTGAGAACTTTTATGATTTATTCTCTTGGAGTCTTTCAAATATACTATAGTATGTCATTAACTACGGTCACCATGCTAGACATTAGATTCCCAGAAGTTGCTCATCTTATTCTGTATCCTGTAACTACTTTCACTTATTTCCCTTAGCTGTCTCCTGCCCTCTCCCCACCTCTGGACACCACCAATCTACTCTCTGTTCCTAGGAATTAAGTTTTTTTGATTCTATGTATAATTGAGATCATACAGTATTTGTCTTTCTCTGTCTTCTGACTGACTTCATCTAGCATGATGACATCCAGTTTCCCTTATGTTATTGCAAATGGCAGTATGTCTTTTTTCTCAAAGCTGAATAGTATTCTACATCTCTATCTGATCCCCAGTGGCTGAACCCCTTGAATTAGTCCCCATGAGGGGAGACCCAGGTGGGCTTTCAGGGGAGCACCCTGCAGTGTTGGAGGAGCTAGATTCCTGACTTGGACTCTTTTGCCGCCAGAAAGATCATAAACCCAGGGCTGCCTTCTTGGATTGAATAGCTTGGCTGGCCTGGCAGAGGGATGATGGAGCCAACTTTGACCTCCTAGTCTCTTTTCTCCATGCTTCAACCTCACCCCTGGATTCTTGGGTGTCTTATCTATGGGTAGTTGCTCTTTAGTCTTTTTTTGTGAGGAAGACTGTCAAGAATAATCTTTGCTGCCATTTTGATGCTGTAACCAGGCTTTTTAACCATGCTTCTGACATCAGAAAAGGTACTTGCAAATATCAGATAGGTGCATTCTCAGGTAAGAACCTAAAAGGAGACACGTTGAGTTAGTTGATTGAAAGGAGAGCTATATATTTTGTAGAAAACATGCAAGACTCAAAGTAACAAGTTGGAGGTCTTATCTGAGAACCTCAGTGCCCTGTACTTAGGTCAGCTACCTAGTGAATGATGAAATATGGGAAAGTATACCTCTTCCAAGCACCTTCGATTTCCACTATTTAAATAGCAGAGACCCCAGGGGGGAAAATAAAGTGACAAGGTAGTTGACTCACACTGTTCGGGTGATCTGAAGCAGAACAGGAAACCCTGAGTCAGTTGGCTGCAACCCTAGTCACTCACTTAAATTATGTGGGAAGCATTTTGAAAGTGTGTATGTATGCATATATTAATGTATAGGTGTGTATATAAGTGTATATGTGCTTGTGTATGTACATGTTTATTGATCCTACCCTAAAGTAATTTTGATTTAATTGATCTGGAGTGAGGTCCAGACATCACTGTTTTTAAGACTCCCCAAGTGATTCTAATATATGGGCACCAGGGACTCAGACCAGTCTCCTTCAGTCTGAAATAGCACTTCTGTGATTGTCTTCCCATTTATTTCCCGCTTGAAAAGGAAAATTTTGCAGCAATTGCATCTAGCCATTCTAAATTGAAGTTTATAATATACAGAAATTACCATAATTTAAATATTTACTTTCTTTAAAAATACTTTTAAGACTAGCAAAGGCATGTTCTTTGACTATTCTTACACTGTCTTCATGCCATCATTTTTATGCTTCTCACCACTTTAGGAATTTCAACGCGAGTTAGCGCTGTAATAAAAATATTCCATTATCAATTAAGAATATTTATTAAAAATGCTAATTTAAGTCAGCTGCTTGTTCTGGTGACTATAAACCTTGGTTCTTGTATTCATTGGCACGTACAATTTTCCTTTTATATAAAGGAAACATTGACAACTTCCAATTATGAGATTTATAAGAAACCCTCTTTTCCAATCACTAAAGCAACCACTATTTGAATCTTCCTAGCATCCCATATTCTTTTGGACTTAATTATTATAAAACCTTCTCAATATCCTTTGTTTTAGAAATATGCAGATGAGAAGTAAATTCTCATAAGCCAATATAATTACATACAACAACACATTTCTTTTAGTATTCCATCCTACATGTAAAGTGAGGGGGGAGGAACATTTGGATAAATTAAGAGGTTATTTAAAAGCTAGTTTCATTTATGCCAAGTATTCCCATGAAATGTTCAAAATCCTTACAGAACAAATCATATTGTCAGTGTATAATTGTAATAGAGCATATAGTATAAGTCTATCCCTGACAAGGGTAGTGAAGTGAATTAGTGTTAGAACAACATTGTGGGCATATTCAAAACCAGCCCACTCAGTCACTTCAAAGTGGGCTGTCCTGGCTGTACAATACTGCATGTCATGGCATGAGTTGATGTGAAAGATGGAATAAACACGATACTCTTGAGTCTTTGCTAATGTTATTTGCTTCATTCAGATTTCACCTGCCATGCACAGGTGTTCAGGCTGATGCAATTTTCTAGTAATCCATAGATTACTGGAAGGTTTAACTTAGTATTCTGTGGTGACTTAATATAAATTGAGAGATCAACTCTGAGTAAACATATTTGATATTTTCCTTGATGTGTTCTTGAAGTTCCAGGATGAACTGACTACAAAAAACATTTTCATGCAACACATTTGTCTCTGATGCAGGAACTTACCCTGGGCTCTTTGTTGAAGCTGAGTGTGTACTTCTCCATGGGTTTGCTGCCCTATGTCTACCTTCCTATCTCATCCTATCTCAACCAAGCCCGTTGGACCTGGGGAGACCAGACAACATTGCTAGGATTTTTGACGCATTTTCTCAGGGAAGAATATGGAACATTCAGTCTGGTAAGTATGTATTTAAAAACCTTTTTTTTTAAAGATAAACACATGCAATTTGCAGCAACATGGGTGGCACTGGAAGGGATCATGCTCAGTGAAATAAGCCAGAAAGAAAAAGAAAAATACCGGATGGTCTCACTCATAGCAGGAATCTAGAAAACTTAAATAAGGGACCAGGAAAAAGAATAACTATAAGAAAGTGAAAATCAAAATCAACAAAAAACTATGAACCAGAGACACTCTATGGGGGGTAGAGGGTGGGAGGGGAGGGATTGGGGTCAAAATAAGGGGGTTGCAATTGTATGGGGAATATAAAAATAAAATTTATAATTTTTTTAAAAAAAAATGCCTTTTTTGGGAAATAAGTGACAAAACTTTAGCCTGAACCTTAGTTGAAAAAAATAAAATCACCATTTATCATTGACAATAGATAGAATTCCCATTCAGTTATTTATATGACAGATTTGCCCCTTGGAATGGGCATTTAACATACATTGGAAAAGATTGAAATCACTTCATCTGACCTTATACTGTTGTATACCCCAGATATATTTTTCTGGATAACAAGCATTAGAAAGGCTCTGCTGCCATCAGTTGACACATTTCCATCTTGTTAGTGCTGGGTATCACTCTTGGCTCTTGGTCTATGATTAAAAATATTTTGAATAAAGATGAAAAATACTTGCTGCTTGAGGATGGAGCCTTACCCTGGGGCACTTGTTCCTGTTATTAAGATCCAGGTGCTACCATCTCAACTCAGTGAGAGCATTCAGTGGTTGTCTGGGTTTTGGCCCCAGGTGGCAGCTAGGTAGGTGTTTCGCATATCAGAGCCTTAGACCTCAAACCTAGCCTCTTCTATGAGGATCCAATCTGGCTCACCCAAAAGCTGCAGATTCCAGCTGTTCTAGTAGGGAGCCTCAGGCTCAAACCAGTATCATCACTCTGCACCCTTATTCCTAGAGTTCTCCGACCTCATTCTCTGTCTTGCACAGCAACTCTGTGCACCTCCCCTCCAATGTAGTGCCCTGTTTATAAAGTCCCTGTAGTGATGGGTGCCCTTGACTTAACAGCAGCAGAAACTTGGCACAGCAGTTCCCCTCCCTCTCCTGGCTGCACTGCCTAGTGTTGCTGCAAACACAGTTCAGTTACAGTTTTGTCTATCCCTTTCTGCTGTTGCCCCTGATGTATACAGTAGTAATCAATTTATGTTTCAGAAACTGGTGTCCTAGTTTTTTTTTAATGCATACAAGAGCTGGGGTACAGGCCAGAGATGTGGCAGGGGAGGGGGGAGGTGAGAGGATTCACTAGAGGCAGAGTGGGGAGCAGAACAGGCAGATTGACTGAAATGCACTGCTGAGGGGAGCAGCAGGCGCGACAGGAAAGGTCTGCTGCGCCATATGGTATCCTAGTTTTATCATAATTTGAATTTGGTTGTGAATATGTAGAAGAGGTGTGCCTCCGTCTTCACTCTGCTGCCATCTTGCTGGTCTCCAAAAACCTAAACATTTTTAATTGTCTTGATCAAATCACATTTTTTTGATGAACAGCATTCTATTTAGTATGAGTATAAGACCTATCTGTGAATACTTCCTAAATATGATGTCACTAAATGAAACAGTGTGTTCCAAAGAGCCTTGCTTTCCCTAAGACATAAACTAGGAGAATCTACTACATGTGCTTACAGTAAAAGTTATCTGAAAAAGGAAGTGATAAACAGATGGTTTTTATTTTAATTTAATTTATTTTTTATCAGATTTTTCTTTCATGGTTTGTACTTTTTTGTATCTTAAGAAGGCAATCTCAGAAGAGTATACATTATATACAAAATTGGTACAAAATTCTAAAACATGCAAAAATTTAATAATCCATTGCTTGTGGATACAGATAAAAGTAGTAAAACTAAATGTGTTTACAAAGTAGGGGAATAATTAACATACAATTCAAGATAATACCACTGAGGGATGACAAAGGCATTTACTGTGATGATTTCCCTTAAATTCCTATTCTTAAATGAATGATGTATCTACTGATTTTTAAAAAACTCTTTATCCCCTCAACTTATATATATTATTTTACATATGTTGTTTTTATGTAGGATATATTTCATAATAAAATAGATTAATAAGATGATAATTATGACTTTTTTAACTTAGTTGCAATTTATGCTGTAGTTTATTTATATTGGTTTCCCCAAAAAATATTGTTTGAGGGCCATTCCAGATTTGGAGTTTGCACAATTCATACATAATTATGAAATACACTAACAAATGGATAATGAACTCTAATCAAAGTACAAAAAATAGCTTAAGAGTGGCTATAACAGAAGTGTAATGTCTATTAATTCATTAATGTGTTAATCATTTCTACTGGCATAGTTTAATTTTTTATTATCTCTGAAATTCTTTTTTTTTTTTAAGATTGATTTATTTGGGCCTCCCCTGGTGACGCAGTGGTTGAGTGCTGGGTTGCGAGGCTGCCTGCAGCCTCTGTAGTGCCAGTTCGATCCCCGGGCACTGGCGAGGGTCCCGCAAAAAAAAAAAAAAAAAAAAAAGATTGATTTATTTTTGCATACAAGAGCTGGAGTACAGGCCAGAGATGCAAGGGGTGAGAAGATTCACCAGAGACAGAGTGGGGAACAGAACAGGCAGACTGACTGAAGTATACTGTTGAGGGGAGCAGCGGGCGAGTCAGGAGAGGTCTGCTGCTCCATGTGGGTTGCTCCTGGCTGGCCAGGGATCGAACTTATGCTGCAGAGGCTGCGAATTGCTTCATAGTGTGGTGCTTAATCCTTTGTGCCCCAGGGAGGCCCCTGAAATTCTTCTTAAAGGATGTCTATGTTTAGTTTTCACTGACTTCTGTTAAAAAAAAAATCAATAATGGGCCTCCCCTGGTGGCGCAACTGTTGAGCACTGGGCTGCGAAGCTGCCTGCAGCCTCTGCAGTGCTGGTTCGATCCCTGGCCACCGGCGAGGGTCCCACATGGCACGCTGTGCCCGCTGCTCCCCTCAGCAGTGTGTTTCATCCGTCTGCCTGCTCTGTTCCCGTTCTGCCTCTGGTGAATTCTCTCACCCTCCTGTGCTTCTGACTATACCCAGTGCTTGTATAAATAAATAAATCTTTAAAAAAAAAATCAATAAGGCTCTGAAGTAAGTCTTTGAATGGAGATGTTGCATTGTATATTTAATCAAGATAGTTAAAATACAGTTTTAATGCATGGCATGCCCAAATAAATTTTTTCTTTTATCTTTAGGCCAAAACTGAAATAGGATCCAGTATGTCTAAAATATTGTTGTGAGTATAAATATTTGAAACTCTTTTTAAATGAATTCTCTATTAGTTCCTTTAAATGATTTTAGGGATTTCTGAGTTTATCTCTTTGTGAAGCAGTATATCATATTCACCTGGATAAGTAACAGCTTTTTATGTACACTGTCAAATTTTCTATCATTTCCTTCGATATGATAAAGTTTAAAGTAAGCAATAAATACAACAATGAACAGGGTAGAACCAGTAAAACTAAAAGGTTTCAACTTTAAGTTGAATATAAAATTACTCAATGTACTGTTGCTTTATAAATAACTTATTTGTTTTGGTATTTTATTTTCTTTCTGTTAGATACATTTTATAACATTTTATAACATTGTATTTAGCATAATCAGAATAATTATTTTCTTGTTACATTGGATTGAGCTATTCTTTTTTAATTCTTCAGAGTTTAATTTATTAAATCTTTCAAGACTTTTAGGTTGTCTTTAAATTCTGTTCTTGACTTACATATTTTTCACATCCAGCCATATTAGAGTCAGCTTAAGCAAATCTGTTTTGTCTGTGTTATCTCCTAGAGTTCTTTGAAAAATGGGTTGATGTTTGCTTTAAAACCTACACAGAGTAGGACAACTTAAAAAATATCTATAACAATCCTGTAATATTTAAATATTTTCAATATAAAATCAGGGAAGAATAGATTTCTATAACACAAAAGTTGTCACCTAACTAATTATTAATTCAGAATTCTCAGGACTATTTGAAATCATTTAAAAAATATGGGGATAATATTTCCACTCTACATGTGAGGCGGTTCATAAGTCCTCATAATTTACTTGCTAGCTTGCTTTCTTCCTTGCATCCATCCTTCTTTTCTTTCTAAACATGTCATTTTTTTCATACTCAAAAAAATGGTATATAGTCATAGAAAACTTACAAAATATAGGTAAGCAAAAATAAAATTTAAATTACCTAAACATTCAACCTATGAAGATAAACATTATTATTAATCTATTAACATTTATGGTATATCCTTCCAATATCTTTTATATTTTATTTAAAAAAAATAGACTCATAATGGCGCATACTGTTTTATTAGCCTGCTGTTCTTCATTTTATACTATATCTTGGAAATATTTCCCTACTGACAGTTATTCTTATATTATACTTTGATGGTTCTCACAATTGATCTTAAAGTTTTTTACTATGTCTGAGATATCTAAATTAAGCTCCTTCTTTTTTTGTTGGGGAAAGGTAGGAAGAAGCTTGATTTCCTTTTAAAGATAAGGCAGCTTTGCCAGTGTCTCTGGGCGTTTACTTTCTTCTGCTTCACTCCATGCTGCAAGACTCATTGCTTGCTCGCTTTTGCCTACCTCTGGAGTTCTTATCACGCTCAGATGTCTAGTATATAGTAAATCCCACATGAACCCCAAAGACCTTTCAAGAGTAATCCTAGACCACACAGATAACTTTTATTAGTTAAGCATAAAAGTCAGCTGTGGGGACATGAAAGGTCTCCTTTATTAAAACTAGAGCAGTTAGATTGTATAACCAAAAAAGCTTGACAAAAGGGATGACCACTTACACCCACTACTTGTTGGAGCCAAATCTTAATGTAGAATGGCAGCATCATCCTAGCACTCTGACTGAGAGAGAGAATTTCTAGTCTTTAATTGTTTCAGGTAGACAGGAGTGTTGAGAAAGGCAACTCATAATTAACTTACTAGAAAATCCATCAATATGATGGCACCTACTCATCCACCCTTTTCCAGTCAAGCAAATTAAATTCTTTCCCCATGCATATCTCCAAATTGCAATCCTGTACAAGGAAATTATTGAATCTAACCCTAGGCAGTGACCATGTTTTAGAGCTTACATTTAAGCAACAGATCTCCAAGAATTAATTTTGAGACTGACTTCATTCCTTTTGAAGAATGGTTTGAAATGGGCCTCATGCTGGAATCAATTTTTCAAGTGTATTTGAAAATGAGTAAGGCTATCTTCTCATAAATGATGAGTCCCCATTAGTAAAATATACATTGTGTGGTTTCCATAATTGTGGCATCACATTTTCTCCAGTAAAATTGCCGGTAGGAAGAAGAAAGTTCTCTGAGATGGTTTGTAGAGTCATTTCTTTTTTAGAAAATTGGAGACTACTAAAGCTATTTTAGAACTTAGATAATGCTTGGAAAATGCTTATAAGTTAATGGAAGGATTTAGTTTAATTATAGGAAAAATACATTTCTCTGATTATTTAAATAATTTTGAACCAAATAATATAGGAAACAATGAAACCTTTTAGGGAAGAAGATAACCAAGAAAAGAATGGTTGGAGATCATTTATTTTACCCTTTTTTTTCTTCATGATTGCATCTCAAAAAAAAAAAAATACTTTTGATTTAATTTTGTTTTCAGTAACTGAATCACTAGAGACCATGACTATACTGCTAACAAAAGAAAATTCAAACACCCATTTCAGGTGACTTCTTATCAAACTAGTCAAGTATATAAATTGGTTTACAAGATCAACACAGTATTCCACACTATCACAAATACATAAGAATTATTTGTTCCACGCCTACCCCAAATTATATATTGGTAACCAAATGTTACAGTTGGTAAACATCTCAGAATATTCAACTCTTTCTTGTAGTACTTTCCCCCTCAAATTTAAAGCAGACAGTTATTTAAAAATCTGACTGCAGTCCTGAAAATTGTTAAGTACATAATTATGTACTCTACAAAGACCATTTTACTTGGAAATAACCAAATTTGTTTTCTGCCAATAAGAAGTTACTTTGTCTTTTTCAGTTCTCAGCTAACAAATATGAGGACTGAACTCTCATTCAACATTCAAGCCCTTGCAGTTTGGGCAAATCTATGTTTACCAAGAAAGTGAGTAACATAAATCCTTTCCTCTTATTTTTTGTTCATTAATTGAGTTAATATTTTCAATGTCATTGTAGAACCTTGCCTGTATTATTTTGTATTCCAAATAAATGACTCCCCTAACCAGTTTTATTAGAGCTAATATGTATTACTTTCTTGCTTTTTTAAAAATTATAAATGAATGGTTTTGAAATATTGAACAGTATGTTACTGTCTAACATTTGATGTCTTAAACTTCTGATTTGACTCCTTACTCTACTCACAGCCAATTATTATTGTTTCTTTGCAAAAGAAGCAAAGAGCTATTTTAATTCTTCTGAAGATAAAAAGAATTTATCTTCATTGGAGATTTCCAATGATAAATGTAAACCTAAAAAAAAATTATACTATTAACCTTCATTTATATTTTTTCATTTACTCTCTAGCCTGTTGAGTGTATTTTTATGTAATGTCTTAATATACATACATTCTTAGTTTTGTTTCCTTAACACTTAACATTATATTGTGAGCATTTTCCCATACCATGAAAATACTTAAAATCATCTAAATGTTTATATAGCATTCTGGGCCTCCTTGGTGGCGCAAGGGGTTAAGACACAAGCTATGAAGCTGTCCACAACCACTGCAGCACGAGTTCAATCCCCCAGCCAGCCAGGGAGCAACCTACATGCCGCAGCAGACCTCTCCTGACTTGCCCACTGCTCCCCTCAGCAGTCTATTGCAGTAAAATCTGCCTGTTCTGTTGCCCTCTCTGTCCTGGTGAATCCTCTCACCCCCTGTACCTCTGGCCTGTACCCCAGCTCTTGTATGCATAAATAAATAAATCTTTAAAAAAAATAAATGTTTATATAACATTCCATACTATGTCCTAGGAGAATTCATTTAAATGCTCTCCTATTTGAGGAATCTTTAAGTTGGTTCCACTTGTTTCACTTTTATAAGTAATACCAAAGCATTTCTATGCATTAATCTTTATCCACATTTCTAGTTAGTGCTTAAAGATTTAGGCCTACTTTTCAAATTATTGGATCGATGAATGTGAATATTTTTAACACTCAATCTATATTACTAAACTAACTTTCCTTGAAGTTTGTACTAATGTGCTATACTGCAGTCTCATCAACATTGAGATTTGTCATCTTTAAATCTTTGTTATTTTGATGCTTGAAATTAGTCTTTGGTTTTTGCATATTTAATTACATCTTAAATTTAACAAGATTAATATTTTATACTTCTTCAACTTCTAACTTTTTATCTTTTGCTGTATAGTCCCAAATTAAGTTGTCCATAGTATCTAGTACAGTATGTATAGTTTACTATGTTTTAGTTACCTCTTTCTATTTAGGTGTTAAAAACCTGATCTTTGTTTCCACATAAAAAATGGGAAGTTTATAGATTCAGATATTTTTTCTATAATTTAAAAACTGTGATATTTATTGATATTCATGCATGTAAGTAATCTTTGACCTATTTGAATTTTTTTTATAGGAGCACACAGAATCCCTCATTAGTCTGGCTTTTTACTGGAATGCTTTGTGTTTATTCATTGTTCTTTGGTTGGAGGGCAAATTTAGACATTTCAAAACCTCTTTTCATGGGTGTGGTAAGTTTTCCTTAGATATTCTTTGAGCAGAAAGTTTGTAAAGAATTAACAAATGTACCTTTCATGAATCTTGTAAAAAGAGGAAATTATCTCAGAAATAGTATATGCACTGTTATAAATTAAGAGTTAAATTACTGAACTACTAAGGTGAAGGCCTCTTTTTAGGAAAAAAAATGCAATGTTAACTGACTAGTACATTAGTTAAATAAGAAAATGAATGTAAGTTAGATTAAGTTAGTCACTTTATATGAGTGCTTGCCAATATAGGACCTACCTCATTTCTCCTAGAATTTTGTAAATTAGCAAAAACATAGAGTTGTAATTAGGGGTTCTTACCAACACATTTCCTTATTTCTAAACTTACCAGTCCCAGGCCTGTGTTAAAGAGCAACCACATTTCTTTTTGACCCCAGCTGCCCCCTCTTGAGATCTCTTTGTATCATAAACTCTGTAAATGTAGGAAGCTCTTTTTAACAATGGAAACCAGATGTTTTTGTGTGTGTTCAAAAGACCTAACCGGTAATGCCCTACTAGATCACCTGAGTTCTGAATCAATTGAGAAACAAGATAAACCAGAAAATGGGTGGGAGAATGTGGTTTGTATCTGTGAGCAAGGGGACTTCCACCTCTGTATCCCCAAATGGCCAGACTTAACCCACTGCACAGAGTGGGCCTCTCTCACCCTAGCCCCACCCCACTGGGACCATAAATCTGTCCCCGGATAAGTGCTTCCTTGGGCAGCTCATATCCAAAAGAAAAAGAGTGGCAAAGAGAATTATACAGGCCCAGTCCCAGCTCGCTAACTGACCATATGACACAGAAGAAATAAGTGAGGGGATTGAAGGGGCCAGGCGTTTTATCCTAGCAGAGCTTCTCCACAAGCAAGGAAGCATTAGGAGCAAAGCCAAAGCATTTCTCTTCCAACACACACATTGCAGGAGTTCATTCTGCAGCATGAGGGTTGCAGAATGGTAGGTCCAAAGGAAAGAATGACATGTCAAACTGGGAAATGTTGGAAAATTGGAAAAAATATGCATAGAGGTGACCTGGGGTAAGTCGGTTAATAAGACCTGAATGACAGCAGTCGGGCAACTAGGTGTTTATGATAGTATTTACAATACATGCAAGTAACCAATTAACTGACAGTGTAAACCAGTCCACTGGACACACTGTTTGCATCTCTCTCACACAGGTAGAACGATTCTGGATGCAGAGCAATGCAGTGGTGGCCGTCCTAGCTGGCATAGGCTTGGCTGCACTTGTGTCTGAGAGTAATCGACTGCTGAATACCAGTGGGCTTCAGTGTCTGGAATGGCTTTCGGCAACTCTTTTTGTAACTTACCAAATATATTCGAATTACAGGTAACACAAATGTTGTGAAAAGTTTGCATCCGAGTCAGAGACATTTGAATATTAAGATTCTAGGACTTTATTTCATCTTTTAGTTCAAAGTGACATAGCTTGGTCTGATGCGGTGCTTCTTAAAACTTTTGAACCAAATCTCAGCATGAGTGATATGTATTTTCAGGGTATGGCCAACAAGGGATAGGGCAGTGCATGCAGACTATGTGTATATTTTCCTCTAAGGAACCCTAGGTATACTTTGTAGAATCTGGAGTAGATATGCCATTTAAGTCATTTGGGCCTTTTTGTGTGTTCCTCTGTTGGAGTAATATCTGACTCTTACCTGGTTGATTCTGTAGTTTAAATATTAATTATTCTTAAATAATTAAAGTCATACAAGTATCTCAGCCCTTGTGCTTTATTAGTATTAATGTACTTTTCAAAACTAATACCCAATAAAATACAAATTTCAGCCTAACACAAAAGATGTCCTAGTTTTAGATGATAGTGCATTATTTCCAGCGATATTGAGTCAGTATTACAGCAGTAAAGAGACCACTGAAGTTTTGTTATACTGAGACGTGACTGGTTGATTTCATAAGTTGATTGATTTCAAAAGGTAAAATTTCTTTTCCAACTTAACTTTAAAAACCGACATTGTGTATTATAGCAGGATAGAGGCAATGTTAAAAGGCTATGTCACCAGGAGGCCTGGTAGGAGGAGGATGCACATCCCAGACACAATCCATAGCTAGCCTGAGAAGGGTTTGCAAAGCCAACACTATGTTTCCCAACCTTTTTTTTTTTTTTTACTTTATTAGACTTTTATCTTGATTAGTCTTAAAAAAAAAAGATTAATTTATTTATACAAAAAAGAACTGGGGTATAGGGCAGAGATGTGGGGGGTGAGAGGATTCACCAGAGACAGAGTGGGGAACAGAACAGGCAGACTGAAATGAAATACACTGCTGAGGGGAGCAGTGGGCAAGACAGGAGAGGTCTGCTGCACCATGTGGGTTAGCTTCCTGGCCGGGGATCGATCTCAGGCCATAGCGGTGATAATATGATAGCACTGTGACTTAACCCTACACCCCCAAGGAGGCCTCTCAGTTATTCTGTAGGGCAATCCAGATTCAACAGCAAGGATGCCTGTACTGGCTGGATGGGTTTTTTTCTTTTGATTCTTTTGCTTGCCCCAGGTTAATGGATTAGATAACAACTTTGCTGGGTGGCCAAATATGAGTCCTCTCCCTGTAAAGTAGGGAATCATAGTAAGAAGCAATTGCATCAATTGTAAAGGCAAGGGTAATGTTTTATTCCTAGAAGTGTTTGTTTAGTGTTACTAACCCACCCACTGGTTCACCTTTACTTGTGTTTCTCACCTCTGTTACATGCAGTGGGCCTTATAATAACAGGAAAGACTTTGATCCATATTTTAATACTTTTACCCTTCTAGTCTTTTCCTCTTTGCTTGGGAAGTGCTTAGAATTCTTTCCAGTTATTCTTTGAAGTTAGAAAGTCCACTTCATCATTGAAAAACCTTTTACTGCTTTGTCAAAGGCAAATAGTGTCTGGAGAGAGGAAAAAACTCATCAAATTTTCTTTCTTATTTGTCTCATTCCCCAGTGATTCCTCTGCCTAGACAAGAACCTGTGGTACAGGGATGTAGTAGAAAAGATCAACCTCTGCATGAAAGAGAGTCATACAAATGTCATATAAATTTATGACAGTTATTGGCAGATTTCCTTTTGCATTTTTGAAAATCTCTTTGGACTAAAGGGCAGTAACATGAAATTACCTTAAATTCCTAGTGGAATCAGAAAATTTACTCCTACTTAGTTTAATTGGATAAGGTTTTTGGAAAAAAAGAACTTGAGTACAATCTGAAAGGAAAGCAATATGCAAATATTTTTAAGCCATAGAATTAGTTCCTTTTGTTTTAGATGATAGTGTTCCTTTTTCAGATACATGTATTTTCTCAGAAGTTATAAATGAGAATAATTTGAAACACTCAATGTAGATTGTATTATGGGAAAGGAATAGTTTGGAAATAAACCCTTTCTTATTAAAACTGTAACAAACTGTTGATATTTTAATGTTTTGATTGTTTTATTTAGCACTTGTGACCAAAGGACCAACTACGTGATCAGTAAATTTGCAAAGAATCTCCTAGCCTCTATGCCTCATGATGCAATTATATTACTCAGAGGTGACTTGCCAGGGAATTCTATCCGTTACATGCATTATTGCGAGGGACTGAGGCCAGATATTTCATTAGTGGATCAGGAAGTAAGTACTTAAAACATATACTTAAAATATAGTAATATTTTTATAACATTTTTATCATTTAATAACATGTCTTTAAACTATTTTTTACAGTGATAGGTACAGTTTTCATGATAGGTAGAATATATACCACATTCTTTTATTTTATTTTATTTTATTTTTTTTATTTTTATTTATTTATTTTTTTTAATTTTATAGAGGCATGCTTTTATTTATTTATTTATTTATTTAATTTGTTTGTTTGTTTTGTTTATACATACACTGGGTAGAGTCAGAAGCGCCGGAGGGTGAGAGAATTCACCAGAGCCAGAGCAGGGAGCAGAGCAGGCAGAAGGACCGAAGTACACTGCTGAGGGGAGCAGCGGGCGGCAGGAGAGGTCTGAGCGCCATGTGGGACCCTCCTCCGGTGGCCAGGGAGCAGCCGGGGATCGAACCGGCACCGCAGAGACCGTGGACAGCTTCGCAACCCAGCACTCAACCGCTGCGCCACTGGGGAGGCCCACATTCTTTTATTTTAACTACTATTATAAGATATGAGTGTTGCTTCTTTCTCATTTATTCTGAACGTTTTAAGTATTAATGAGTTTCATGTTAAATTCAAATAATATCCCAAGTTTCTAGTTCACATGACAAATCATGAAAATATTGGATTGTATATTTATTTTTAAATTGTTCTTTTACATTTAGCCAACTTAACCATTCAAATTAACACTGCCCGCTGGTCCAGGGATTATAATAAAAAATAAGGTTGACTATAAAATAAGTCATACTACAAGTAAGTAAAAACTTCTTTCAAGATAGAAGTCATTAACCGTGAATCTGCTACAAAATTTTTGTGTAACCTTTGTTAATCTCAGGACAAAAATGTATTTGTAGAAGACTTGTGAAAATTTCTAGGTCTATTAGAATAATCTTCTGGAACTGAACAATATATTTAATTTATAAGACTTATTATGTAAACCATAAATACTTAAAGTGAACAAATCTATCTGATATCATCAAGAAAAGAGAAATTCTTAATCTTAAAAAAATTATGGCTAGTTTAAGCACATTATTAAGCATAGTACTTTTTATAAATTTTGTTGAATTACTGAATAGTTAGAATTTTTCAGAGAAAACTGTATGAACAGACTTAGACATATAAGACAATTTGCAAATGACACCTATTTCTGTAAGCACTTTGCATTTACATCATTTACACAGATTAATTTGATTGTCAGTCCAGCTTCTAACCAATGCTAGATTATTTATTGATATTATAGTATCACACTGTAATTTTAAATACTATTTGGGATGGCAGCTAGTGTAGTTGAGAAGCATGAATTTCAGCCCTCAGTTCAAGTCTACATATGTGACATGGGGATGGTGACTTTTCCTTTCAAATCAATGGAAATGATTGTCATACAAATTAGGATGCTTTTGAATGCAAGAAACAAATACCTGACTAAAGAGTGATTTAAATTGTGGAATTTTTTCCTAATATAATAAGTAGTCTGGAGATAGGATTTTAGGTTTGATAATACAAGCAGTTCAATGAAGCCAGTGTTCTGGGGCAGCTCCTGTGGTCTCTTGAACTGATGGATACCCAGTTGCTGCAAATATCACATCCTCAAGCATTGGGAGTAACCCTCAGCACCTCTCCACTGTAGCCCCACTAACCAGCACTATGTCACATGCCCCCATCCCAAACTATTCATAGATAAGGAGAAGGAGCATGTCACTACCTGGGCTACCTGATCAAAGTCGGGGCAATGTTAGTGAGAAACAGGAAGGCACTGACTATTGAATAGGTTATCGACAGTATAATTATTCTCATTATTCTCATTCAGTGAGGTTATTATGAGAATTAAATGAGGAATATTATATCATAGTTTATAGTGGATATATAATTCATGCTACTATCCCCAAGAACTGAAATTATTAGGTATTACAATCCAATTTTGTACATTTTGAGTACTTACAGTGTACACCTAGATTAAAATTAGTCATTTCTAGTTAAATGAGGAAATGATGTTTAAGCTGGTTCTGAAAGTTGGGTACACATGTTCTAGATACTGGAAGGGGAAAAGGTCCTTCTGGGTAGTCTGCCAGAGGAATGGAGGGAAAATGAGACTCAGTACTGATGTCACTGATGATAGTCATAGCTTACGACGTGAAATCCAAGATTCGAGTCATGGAGGAGTGGTCTGTGCCACACACCTTGGTTACACTTGTATGTGTTTTTCAGTTATGTTCCTATAATTATATATATAGCATATTCACATTTTAGAGCTTTTCATTGATAAACTTGACTCTTTTTTAAGAAATATATTAAAAGGATGGCATCATATGTTATTTCGCTGACAGATGATGACTTACGAGTGGTATTTACCCAAGATGGCAAAACATTTGCCAGGTGTCAACTTTCCTGGGAACCGGTGGAATCCTGTGGAAGGAATATTACCTAGTGGAATGGTCACATTTAATCTTTATCATTTTCTTGAAATAAATAAACAGTAAGCATTCTTTTCATATAATAGCTTTTCTAAAAATCTTAAGCTCTTCTAAAATTGTTTATGTACAGCTGTGCTTCATCCAAAAGACCAATTTTCTACACCTATTTCCCCGTCACTGGTGAGATTATCTTTGTAATTAAATTGAATATCTGTGCATAAATGAGGCCAGGCAGAAATAAATGTTATTGTTCTGAGTAAAGGAAAACTAAAGACAGATTAGCAAGAATAGCAAATAAGATCTTAGTACAATTCAGAGAAATTGGAGATGTGCCTGCCTACTTGAAATCATTGCAGGTGGATCAGAAGCAATTATAGCCCCCCCTCCCATCAACACCATGGCCTCCTTTTAAGTGTAAAAGCAAATGTTTTCCAGGAATAATCACTATATAAAAATAGCTTAAGGATTTTTTTTAATATAAAGGATAAAACACTTTTTATAAATAAGAAAAACACCTACAGTTATGCAGGTTGAGATAACATAAGAATTCTGTACTTGAGAACATAAAATTATTCAAGAATGATCAAGGTCAAGAATAAATAACTCTTTCAATGGTATAGTGTTGAACATTTCTCCTGTCCATGAAATGCTTAGAATGGTCCAGAGCATGAAGAAAAACTTTTTTCATAATTTCTATTCTCCTATAAAGGGAACTGCAGAAATTCCTTGTAAATCCCAAAGGTAAATTATCCTTTACTAAGAACATAATAATATGGCTCTTTTGGTATTTAGAGCCTGAAGTTTACTATGGTTCATGAAGTAATAATGAAAATAATGGGTATATATGAGCTTGTAGAGTAATATTTAAATGTTCTATTTTGGAATAAATATTAAGAACCATTAATATTGCCAAATAGATACTTTTTATGAATTATTTAATTCAACCCTGCAAATGTTCTTTGACTGCTGCATTCCAGCTTATACACTAGGTCCTGGCAATAAAATGAAACTCAGTTCCAAATTCAAGTAGACCACAGTCTAGTCGTGTGTACCTAAATGTGAGTGTAGCTAGCCATAATAGGATAGGATAGGCATTAGGCTAGCACAGTCTCGTGAAGTGTGAGACACAGCAAATGTTCAGTATGTGTTTACTGAATGGATGCTTTGGCTGACCACATAAGGCAAGTGTTCTAGGAACATGGATGAGGCAATTAATTCTGCCTGGGGCCGTTCATCCTACATTTATTTGGTAAATATTCAATATCTAATATGTCCCAACAACTCTATGAGCTGCAGACGTGTGGGCATAATCCCTGCTGTTACAGTCTTTCAGAGAGGGTTTCAGGTGGTGCCTTAAACATGAAACAGATGAATGATAGCATAGCGTGATAATGTTGGTATGAACAAAATGTTGAAGCCTTAAAAGCCCAAATTAACTTTTTCAGACTAATATAGCTGTTAAACAGTCTATTTAAGAAAGATTTTAAGTAAATGAAAATGTTTACAAATGGTTTATAGATGTTTAAGTAATCAAAAGTGACCCTTAGGACATTAAATTTACTTAACATTTAGAACTTTAAGTTTTAAATGTTTTTTTTTTTCTGTTTCCAATAGGAAAGAAACGTTTGTTTGCATAGGAATTCATGAAGGGGATCCAACCTGGAAGAAGAATTATGCACTGTGGCCATGGGGTTCTTGTGACAAATTAGTTCCTTCAGAGATTGTATTCAACCCTGAGGAATGGATTAAACTTACCAGAAATATCTATAACTGGACTGAGGAATATGGAAGGTATGAAGAGCAGTATATTTTTCATGGAGTACGACTGTTTTGTGAGCCTAAAAAACTTACTAAATTTTGAGATGCTTTTTAATTGGGGATCTTTAATTGGGGGATCTTAATTTTTATTAATTATTAATGTTATTTGCTGCCCACAGCCTATCAAAACAGAAAGAGAATGTACCTTTCCTCAGGTTTGAAGGACAATGGGATTCTTCCACTTTTAGAGTGTAAGATACAGGATGGTGGACAGGGTAGCATTACAAGAGCAGCAAGTGGCAGTTGCTGGCCTCAAGTGCTGCATGTCACTCGACCAAGTCTTCCCTTCCTCTTCTCCATTGTCCTTCAAACCGGAGGAAAGATACATTCTCTTTCTGTTTTGATAGGCTGTGGGCAGCAAATAACATTAATAATAAGACATCAGGGGAAAATAATAATAACAATACAAAACACAACAAAACAAAAACAAACAGACAATTATAAATCAGATATCCTGCAGGGGAGGAGGAGGGAGAGGGAACAGAGGGAGGGAGGGAGGAGCACAGGGGACTGAGGTGATAGTGCACGGGTGCATTAGTGAAGGAAATTCTATGGGGACTACACCTGGGGTGGGTGGGGGAGCAAACATTGTTTAAAAATAAACAATGATGCAAAAAATACATAAAAAAATAAAATTAAAAAAAAATAAAGTGATATGGGAAAGCACCCCCCCCCCAAAAAAAAAAAAAATGACAGATTGCTTCTCTAAGGAAAGCTGGGACTTGAATTCAACCTTTTCTTCATAGCTGTTTGTCAGCAGTGTTGTTTGGGGCGTGATTAGTCTTCCTTGAAGCTTTGCTCCAGGGTTGACTCTCTCTCCCTTTTGAAAAATGAGCCCCTACCTAAACAAATGTGCCTCTAAAGCCTATGTTTAAAATTTTGAATTATTTAAAGATTAGATAACCTGTTGCTGATCATTTAAGAACAATAGGTAAAATCATGTGAAAAAAAATGCTACAGAGGTTTTTTTTGGATCAGTGCGAGTGAGCAGAGCTCATTGTGCCCCTGCTCACGATGGATAAGTGGGTTGTATCAAAGTGCTCTGTGAACATCAGAAGGGAAAGTTAGAAAAGCACCTCTTGTCTGAACAGCTGAAACACACAATTATATAGCAATTACTCACTATCTCCATTCTGTCCAATTAGAGAAATTTTAATTGCAAAAAAGGAAAAAAACCAGCAAATGGCTTAACCAGCATATTTTGAGTAGCTTCTTCCCTCCTGCAAAGCCAGGAGTCCCCTCTCTACAAACTAATTCCCTTCAGTGTACTTCCCTCCAGCTGGCTTACTGGTAGCTATGTCCAAAGTGACCCAGACCTCACCCCTGCCCTGTTGTCAACTAACAGTTCCTAGAGCAGTTGGCTCCCCAAATGCCTCCAGCCTCTTCCACTAATCCTTTGTTTGCTCCCATGAGACACTGGGACTCCTTGTGCAGAGCAAGAACACATTTACCAAAAGTCCCAAATTCCTAATGATTGAGCTTTTCTAGGATAATAAGTTTAATCAGTGTCACTGATTGAACAGAAGTTGCTGTCTGTCTCCATGTGTGACATGTAGTTAATTATTTAATGAATACATCAAAATCTACCCTGTTTCATAACCGTTGTGATTATTAATCAGGGATTACTTATCTATCAATAAATATAGCTGACAGAATAATGTTACATTTTCTTGTAACTATAGGTTTGATCTCTCTACTTGGGAATCTGTGGCCAATGAGGAGATGTGGCAAGCAAGGTGACTAATCTGCATTTTTGTGTCAATAAGCAATTATTTTGTTTGAAGCATTGTACAAATCATTATTTGTGAATAATCTCGTTGCATCTATACAACAACCTGTAAATTACTATCACCTCCATCTTACAAGAGAACAAACTGAAGGCAGAGAGGCCACATAGCTACTAGCGAGAGTCCAAAACAAGCATCTCTCTGATTCTAGGACACTTGTATCCCCCATGCTCTCCTGCTTCAAACACACCAGTGTATCACTGATTGAACAGATCTTGCTGTCCTCCATGTGTGATGTGTAGTTAATTATTTAAGCACCTATTGAATACTGACTTGAGGTGGGGCACCGTGCTAGGCATGGAAGCCAAACATATAAATATGACATAGTCTCTACCCCCAAGCAGCTTACAGACTGAAGAAGCAGACAGACATGTTGGAAGAGATTTGAATGTGAATGTGCTAGGTGTTACACGTCCCTGCTGTTCCTGTGCAGAACACTTAGCGGTGATGTTCTTGACTCTTGGTCCCTGTCATTATTTTAAAATAATCAAAATATCTAACACTAACAGACTTTGGCCCCAGTGTTAATGTAGAGTCTTAAGTAGCACAGACAGATGTACCAAGTACATGCAAAGTACTTCCTTCAGCAAAAATGTATTTGTGTCCACTCTGGGGCAGGTACTTCACTGGGATCCAATTATAGTGTATAGGGTGTATGTAAGTTTAAAGAGTTTTTTTTTTAATTATCAAGAAATACAACTAGAATAGCACTTACAAGATTAAATATACTCTAGTTTGTGCAGTGCTATTTTTGGAAAAGTCAGACAGTGGCATATTTCAAGTTACCTTTCTAGTTAATAAAGACGAACACTTGTTTTGAAGATCTAGTGAAGGATGTGTCATGTGTTTGCACAATTCTTCATTGTGATTTTGGGAAAGCTGGGAGACAAGTCACTTAAAAAAAGAAAGCAGGCCATAATCCAGGCAGGTAGTGATTGAACTGCTATGTTGAAAACTTTGGGATGAGTCCACGTGGTTGGAGTCCAGCCACCTTTGAAGAACTGGACAGACATAGTATGAGCTATTGTGATGGGCACCTTCAGGGAAGGCTGATAAACTCAACAAGTTCCCCTTCCTGGTGTCAAAATAATATACATCTGGTGTGATGAGGAGCATGAGCTTTTTTCTGAAAGATTCGGATATGGTAGGGGGAATAAGTGGTTGTCTTTGGTTCACAGTAAATGTCCATGAATACAAGACTTTCAGAAACAATATAATAAGGGATCTATATGTTTCTTATCAATGGAAAAGTCTGGAAGATTTAACTTTGACTGTGAAATTGACAACATGATTTAAATGACACTTCCCACCCTGCCCCACCCCCATCCTAGGATGAAAACACCCTTCTTCATATTCAGCCTGGCGGAATCTGCTAATATACCTTCAAATGTGAAAGCTCAGCTCTACGCTCATGCATACAACGTATGTGATACTTTAATATAAAGGAATGTATTTGGTGGGATGGTGGTGATGATTGTTTGGGATGGAGAAAGGGTGTCTGTATCATAGTAGAGTTTTGATTTTCTTCTTTCCAGCTTTGTCTGGGCATTATAAAGCTGTATAAATGGGAAACTACTTATATGTGTCACAAATAATATCTAAAGTAAATGGTTGTGGTTGACAAAATAATGTCCCTCCTAAAGATGCCCGTGTCCCAATCTCTAGGACTGGTGAATATATGACCTTACATGGCAAAGGTAACTTTAAAATATGATGGGGCAGTTATCCTGAATTATCTGCATGAGCCCAGTGTAATCACAAGGGTCTTTACAAGGTTGGGGGTGGGGGACGGGCAAAGGAAGGGGTCAGTATAAGAGAAGAAGATGCCACATTGTCAGTAGAGGTCAGAGAGAAAGATCTGAAGAAGCTACATGGCTGGCCAGGAAGATGCAGGAAGAGGTCACATATTAAGGAGTGTAGGAGGCCTCTGGAAGCTGCAGAGGGCAAAAAAAAAAAAAAAAAAAAAGATTCTAGAGCCTCCAGAACAACAGCATCCCTGCCATTTTACAAAAACTTTGATGTTATGGCATCTAACCTTCAGGACTGTGAGATAAAAAATGTGTGTTGTTTTAAGCCACTGCGTTTGTGGTGATTTACCACAACAGCAATAGCCTTTTACAGGTTGCCCTCTACTCAGAAGTCATGACCCTGGTTACCTTTGATGGGGCCATAGCTGGTTGAGATTTCACAAACAAAGATAAAGGTCACGAGAAGGCTCTGTCTTCTATGACCCCAGAAAGTCAAACCAAAGAAGACCCAGCCACACTGAGACAGCATTGTGGTCCTCTCTGATGGGTAATGGACATACAGAGGAGAGGCACTGTTTTAACAGGCCCCTGCTACGATTATAGGACTGGGCTCTTCAGATATCTGCAGAGATAATCTTGGAGCCTGCCATATAGGAATCAGACATCTTGGCAAGGACCAAGGAGAACAGAGCCCTGAAACCAAAGGTGTGAGCAATTTGGGATATTTCTGCTATCACTAGGCCTCAGTAGGTTGACTTCACCAAGGCACTTATTTAGAGCTAAGAAAGAATAGCATGGTGTTGAGTCAGAATAGACTAATTTTACTCCTCAATTTTGTGATCATGGGTGCATTGCTTATTTGTTAATTCATTCACTTACAGAGCTTTTATTGAGTGCAGCCCAGTTAATACCAAATATTGTGGTGCAATCAAGCATTGTACTTGCTATCAAAGAGATGGCAGGCTAGAGTGAGAGATGGAAGATAAAGGCCTTGGTTAAGTGCAGTCTGGTGACAGCAGAGGTTTGCAGAGGTGCTGTGTGGGAGAGAAGCCCCACTTCTGGAGAGGATGCTGTGAACAGGGAAGAGTCCCGAGGAGGTGTCACTGGAGTGTCACCCTGAGCGAGCAGAAGGAGCACCAGACAGGTGGTGGGAGAGGAAACTGGGGAGGGGAGAGGGAGGACAATCCATCAGGGAGATCAAGGGTGAAAACCTGGGAATGTGAGAGCTTGGGGAGTTCTTAGTGCCTATTCTGTGCCAAGGAGCACCAAGCCATTTATACATTCCTTACTGCGGGGGTGCGGGGGGACACTCAGGAGACAGGGAATCAACAGTGAAAAAGGGCAGTGGGGAAAGGAGGACAAAATTTGAAGATTTTACCAAGACAGTAAAAGGGAAGGAGGCAGACTTACTAGCTTTAAGGTATATCAAACTGTGAGGTGACTTTTTCTAACGCATGGAATGAAGGAAACTAGGAGAAATTGCTTTAAAAGATAGCTTGACGGGGGCCTCCCCGGTGGCGCAGCGGTTGAGTGCTGGGTTGCGAAGCTGCCCGTGGCCTCCGCGGCGCCGGTTCGATCCCCGGCTGCTCCCCGGCCACCGGAGGCGGGTCCCACATGGCGCGCAGACCTCCCCTGCCGCCCGCTGCTCCCCTCAGCAGTGTGCTTCGGTCCTTCTGCCTGCTCTGCTCCCCGCTCTGGCTCTGGTGAATTCTCTCACCCTCCCGCGCTTCTGACTGTACCCAGTGCTTGTATAAATAAATAAAAATAAAAAAAAAATAAAAAAAAAATAAAAGATAGCTTGACGACAGGGTTAATCATATCAAAATGACATGTCAAACATGATTGTGGAATTTTCATGGGGATGCTAATAGGCATTTGTCTGCGCTGGAGTAGGAGTTTGGGAAATAGGTAAGAGAATTGAGTCCATTTCAAGTCAGTGATGTGATGAATACAGTTCTGATTCGTACAGCACTTGTTCTGAAAAAAGCATCATTGCTTGCTCTATGTTCTTGTGGAATCCACTGGAAAATTTGCATTCCTAAGGATCTGACTCTAATTTGACAAGCCCCAAGAAGGCTGTGAAGTTTCCAAATTAGCAAGGTGATTTTCCATTTTATAGATTTGTATCTGCTTTCTTATTTATTTATAAAATTTCAGTGTTTTCCCTTTGGAAAACTCAATGTCCAAATTTCTAAGGCTAAAATAAAAATCTAATTCTATCCGTTAGTACTATCTCTGATGATGAAGAACAAAATTCTCCATTCTGTGGGCAAAGTCTTAACTATCAAAATTGTAATTATGGTATACTGTGAAGATTTTAAATACTGTATTTTAAGGATGTCTCAAATTCTTTTATACCCAGCCTATTCGATAATGTTTGTCTGAGTTCTGTTATTGTTGTATTGCTGTTTTTAATGTGGGGAGAAATTTATGTAAAAATGTTAGACAAAATTTAAATTCCTTCAAGTTCTTTTTCCATACAGTTTTCTAAAGAAAGCTATTTTTTTTCTCCAACAGCTAAATTTAGAATCCCAACCTTTCTGCCTGTTGAGTAAATAGCTTTCCATGAATTAGAACTAAATCCCTTTCCCAGAACATCTTTCGGGAGGAAGAGCATTTTGTCCTGACACAGTGTGTCTTAGGGTTCCCTCTGCAACATCCGAAAAGCCCCAGAAGCAGTTTTAGATGAAGCATATTTGCCTCCTGCCACTGTAATAATTACAGTAACATCCTTGCATTTTCTGCATGGCCTAGCAACGATTAGATTTCTACTGTAGGCTGCTTGGATGTGTGTGTGTGTGTGTGTGTGTGTGTTATTATTCCTCTGTGTTTTCTGTTATTTGGAAAAAAAAAAAAAACTCAAGGGATAACAATGGGATACCAACATTTTTGCTGTCTTCCAGCTTTATAAGGAGATTGTCTATTTTCAAAAGGAGCACCCAGTGAATTGGCACAAGAATTATGCCATCGCCTGCGAGCGGGTGCTGCGCCTTCCAGAACGAGGTACAGACCCAGAAGTCTTGTTATCGGAAACCATCAGACATTTCCGTCTCTACACTCAGAAAGCACAGTATGATCCACAACTGGCTGATATTTCAGTTGCTCTAAAGCACCTAAGAAAAGAACTGCAAATTCTAAGAAATATGAAAAATGTCTGAGACAGCAAAATGTGAAAAACCTGCTTGGCATTCAGCTTCCAGAATTCCATAGTCCAAAAGTTTTTCCTCCAAGAAAAGAAGCTATGAAAAAATAGAAGACTAAGTTGTCTCCCAGATATAAGTACAGTAGTACTGTTTCATGGGGGGTTAGTGACTGAGAGGGGGGTTTTATGCAAATCCTTTTTTTTCCATGTTATCAAATTAGTATTTGAGCAAGAATCATTCCAGAAATTTTCCTACTTCTGCAGTCCTTTACCAGGTAACTGCTTGATTACATTCTAAAGAGAGCAAACTATTTTCATACTGAAAATACTGAGCATAAATCTTAAGGGCCCTTCTTATTTGGATTGGTCTTGAAGGTTAAATTCTTAAAACATTAATACAGGACCCAAGATTTTATGTTTCCCAAAAGCGATATTGTTGTTTTTTTTTTTTTTTTAATTGCTATATTTCAAGTTAGAATACTTGGGTTTTTGTTTGTTTTTTTTTTCCTTTTTGACTAACTGTGGTTGTTACATAATTTCACATCTCCAGCTAAACACCATTTGGGTGATATTTTGAAAAAAGTTGGAGTTTTATTGTCTTAGATAATTCTCTGAATTCACAAAAAAAGAAAGCAAACAAGTTTGCTTTCTTTTTCAGCTACATAAACTGATTGACAAGAGAAAAGGATTATGTACTCCCTTAATTAATTTTATATTTATGTTTGACTGCTGGTTGGGCTCATAAATCTGGACCAAATAATGAGTAGACTTCTGTGGCCAAAATGCAAAGACAGGCAGGGGTGAGGGGACGATGGGGAAGTGGTTCAATAAATTCATTTCTGTTACAAGCATCTTTTATACATATTACTAAAAAGAACAGAGTAAGAAATGCAAATAATAGTTCTTTATTTTATTATGACAGTTAATTAATAGCAACCTGTTTTAATGAATAAAGTCACTCAGAGTCCTTCAGCACTTCCTAAGTAGAGGCCAGAATCTGTAGCGATTCTTTTCCCCCCAATTGTATAGCTCCTAGACTCCAAGCACTATATAGGCTCCTGTATAGAAATGCTCACTAATGAAGAGGGAGGGCTAGAAGCTTGTCTGCATTCAAAGATCACTGGTGAGTCATTCAGCAAGAAAAGGCCCCTTACCAGGAATAGTCACAGTTCCGTGGCATTGTACTAGCAAAAGGGTCTGATCAAAGGTCTCCTGTGGAGCTTGCATGGTTCCCTTTCATACTACGACCATAATTAAAACCACTAATTCTCTTTTAAAATGCTGCAGGATGCCATGTAGGCATCTGTCTGGAGTGTCCTTTGTGATGTCATAAGCTGTTAAGGACCAGTGCCGAGGGCTTTTGAGTGAAATGCCAGTCATGAAGGTGCTTCAAGACAAGGGTGCCTCTAAAAGCTTGACAGGGCCTTGACTGCACAATTCGAGCTGAATTTGCCCCTTGTCAGCTGCCAGTAAATAAATCTCAAAGGGGGGAAAGCTGAAGTTTCATTACCTGATCCATGGGGCTTTGTTGGTTTTGGCATCACACAGGGGAAGCTCTTGCCCCTCCATTCTCTGGATTTGAAGATGTCCATTGGAGCCTGCAGTGCCTGGACAGGGTTCAGAGCGGAACCTTTTGAAGAGTGTCAATAGTTGTAACAGTTCAGCTGTTAGGAAGACAAATAAATGGAGGAGCTCATTAATCCGCTTTTGGCTCTCAGTGCCTTTTGCCCTTTTATCACAGCCTTATTAGGCTCCTACTCATCTTGAACCAGAAAAAAATGAATTGAAGTTGTTGAGTACTAATTGGCAAAGACTTTTAATCATGGGCCAAGAACTTTCACTGACTTGAAAGTAACTTCTCCACAGGGAAGAACCAAAAACCTGGTTTACCTTAAAACAAAAACCTGTTGGAGTTCAGTGTGGTGTAAAAATTTAAGGAAGCATTGATAAATTGTCTAAGTTTCTCCATTTAAAAGAAATTATGGAAGATGATGATTCCTACTTTTCCTTTTGTTTACCATAGTAAACAAAAATGTGCAATAAAATAAAAATAAACGTTCTCTAGAATTGCATTATTTGTATTGGTCAGAGAAGAGATTGCGTGCAGATGTGAGATGATCGTGTTTGCTGCTGAACAACTCTCTATGTGGATGTGAATATTCATTTAAACATCTATAATCAGATGTGGTGTTGGAAGAACCTTATTAAACGTATTGTTTTCTACTTATGGTTTTAAGAATTTCAGGCAAACGACGGCCTTTTTGGGAGAAGATATGCTTACCAATTTGTGTCTACACGGTGGCCCTATATCTGTGTCTGACTATGCTTTGTGCACTGACAGCACTGTCAGCTGGTGCATAGATATTCTGTGTTTCTGCAACAATGGCTTGGACCACTCTCTCAGAGGAATCAATGATATGATGACCCAAAGTAGATGGGATCATAATTATTTAAATTTCTGAAATCTATCAGTCAATGAAACAGCAAACTGAGCTGAGATTTGGGGATGTTGGGCTTCAATCCCAGATCAACTACTTGGAAGAATATTTCCTTTCTATTGTGTGAGACAAGTTGCTTTCTTTTTGTCTCTCTTACTTTTCCTTGGCAAGTGCATCAACACCATAAAATCTAACAGAAGGGCTTTCCTTCAGTCTAACCCCCCGACACGGAAGAGAATGTGAAGGAGGTGACTTCTCATGGAGGATTTGGCCAGCATTCTCCTACCAGTGTCCCTGGAGTGCCAGGGGTTGGCATGACGACAGGAACCCCACAAAGCCAACTTCTGCCTGGACTTCAGCCTGAGGGGCAAATAGGAGCCAGCAAAACTGTCTGCCTCTCCACATGCTGCAGTGCCCTGCTGCCTGGCCCTAGGGCTGGCACACACCCCAGAGGGCAAGTGGAGAAGGGGATTGGGGCTGCCATGTTTTCTAAGCCCTATTCCCTCTGATGCAAGGGATGCTAGGTTTTTTGATATTGACTTTCTTCTTTTCTCTTTTTGAATAGAACCCATTTTAACAAAGCTTTTGTTCTGTTATTGAAAATGAAGCCAAAATAGGAGTCAATTACTAGCATATGATTTAGAAATCTTCAAATAGAAATTGTGAAGTATTTTTTCCTACCCATGTTCTTAGTATTTTCTGATGATGGAACCATGTTTAGCTTGTATATTATTTAAACAAAGCCCATTTCAAGTGTTAGGGCTATTTTATCACTCCTTGATGATTTCCTTAAGTCATCAGACTAGGAAATGAAAAGTTTTAAAATTTTGTATTTTAAAAGTTAAGCAAACAATGTGGGTCCTTAATTATAGTCCTCACCAATATCCAACAGAACATAACAATGTTAATACTTCTAATATTCAGGGGAAAATTGATACCAAAGGTTGAAAAAAAATGGATGCCATGACAGCAAATCTGTTTACTCTATCTTAATTCCGGTATATTTTTTAAATGCACAGAAGTAGGGTATTACTTAAAATTCTGTTCTAACTGGCTTGACATCTTATGGTTAGGTAAAGAAAAAAATCCAGCCCAGCAAGAGATTCACACTACTTTGTTCAATCTCATATTTTGTTGTGGATGCAAAATGATTCTAAAGCTTATACTTATGAACAAATAAGTAATGTTTCCAGGGATTCTGGGAACATCTAAAGGCCAAGATCTTGGCACAGCATTACACAGTAAACAAGGAGCTAAAGCTTTAGCAGCGATCATATTCAATGAAGACGTCATTGTCAGTACCCTCCAAAGGTCTGTTTGATTTGGATCAGCATGGATGGCATAAAAAAAGCTTTAGGAATAGAACAATGTGCTTACCTGGATATAGGAAAGCAAACTAATAGGAATACATCTTGAGAAAGGGATTTTTCTGCAAATTATAATTCTGATTGTGCTTCAATAATGTAACATACATTTGTTGAAAATTGTATGTACGGTAAAGATTAGTTTATGTCAGTCTGAATGAAAGATACCTGGTGTGGGGAAAGGAATGGTAGGGGTTCCACAACTGTAAACATAAAGCCAGCAATTACTGACCTGTAAACAGAGCAAGCTGGATCTTTTCTGCAGATCCTAGTGTTATTGGTGAGGGTTAATTTTTAGTAATATGGATAATATGGTGATTTTAGAAAAGTTGAGTTGGTATGGTTGAGCTGATGTCAAGACTAAAACATCATGGCAAATAATCTAGATTAAAAACATGATAGCAAATAATTGGGCCATAATCCCATCCCAGTGAACCAACTTCACAGAGCACCCAAGTGGCCTTGTACATAGTTGTCATTAAGTGAGGATAATGTCAAAGGTCTAATAAAAGATCAATAGAAATATAGCAAATCTAAGATTTAGATTTAATTGTTTACAACTAGTAAACATAGTTTACTAGTTTACATAGTTTGTAATTGTTTACAGCTAGTAAACATAGTTCATAGTTTTAATTGTTTACAACTTTTTATAAGTCTTTGGTAGTATCAAGAGCAAAAGTATAATAGATGGAGTATAATCTTCATATTCGTTAAGTTCATTATGTATTATAAAAATAAAAGGAGTTCTTGCCCTGTTTTTTTAAGTACACAAACAAGCCACAATCATCTTCTATTAGGAGTGTCCCTGAAAAGGGTTGTTTGGTGCTGTTACTTTTTTAAGAAGATATTTTGAGATTTTACTGATCTAAATGAAATATTTCCTAGATGACTGAACCACTAGAAACATCCTTAATACCAGTGATTGTCATCCTATGCAAAGATATGTGTGATTAGAAAGTATATTGTTGGGAAATCAGACCCAAAGGATCACGGGGTGAGCCATGTATTACCCTTGACCAATGACTATCATCTAACACACAAGAAATCCCTATAACTCCCTCAAAAATTACAACAGAGAATGCACTGAGGATTTGAGGACAGGGTAAAAGATGCAAAAATTAGAGTCTTACAGTATCTTTTCTCAAGATATGTTTTCAAAGTGGAATGAAAACATCATATAATCATTGTATTAACAGTGTTTTTAAAGATTAATATTAAAAAATCAAGGGTAATTTTAAAACACTCTAGCAAAAACTGCATTAACTTTAAAGGGAGTTATTTGTAAATGGAAGATGATCCACTTATCAAAACACTAGGATTCCTTTGACTGATGAGTTAAAAGTCCATCTGACAGGTGAGAGGAAGTTTCTCAAAAAAAGTAGCTAATGGAAGAATGAAAACCCAAAGCCCAATTATATAGCACTTACAAAAGGTCAGTTCACTGACAGAGTGATTATACTTAGTGGTTCCTTTTTTTTAAGTGTGTCATAGATTTTTACTAAAAGTATAGCAAATTCCTTCAATATGTTGACTGGTATCTACATGGTTTTTGTTTCTTTCATTGATCAGGTTTTTAACCATTAACCTATACAGTTCACCTATATTCACCTGGAGCAAGTTCCTCAATGCACAGGCGGAAGTCAGCGTAGTAGAATTTGACCAGCTTCCTCTCTAGGAGATAGAATAGAAAATATTATAACGCCTCTGAGGTTACAGGGTAAGTATTGTTTCATGAAACTCTCAGTTTCATTGAATGTGTGTGTGTGTGTGGGTATATCATACACCATATTCTGTGTATGTGAGTGTGTGAGATATATAGAACATATACACATAAATCTAAGTCTATGTATACTAGGTCATAATAGGAAGGGTACTTATCATGGGTCACAGTAAAAAAATAATTTGATAGCCACTGGTTTAAGAGAACTTAGCTAAGTTTATTGAATTCTTAAAAAGGTTAGTAAAGGATCACGATCACCTACCATGACTAATCTAGTTTGAGAAATGAAGATATGAGACCTACATCAAGTGACTTGGTTAATGTCTGGTGAATGTCATCACACGAGTGCGTAGTCAGAGCTGGGACTGGACCATGAGCTTCTTAACTCAATCTGGTATGCATCACAGCTAGGTGAGCCTGGCTATTCTACCATCAACTCCATGTCACTTTAAAGTCCCTAAATAATGCAGACATATTAAAATTATGGTAAACTTTTCTACAGATAAATGGTGTATGAAATCAAGAATTATAGGAAATTGCTTAAAAGTTTTACACTGGACATCTTTCTTCCCTTCCTCCAAATCACTGGGATATAATTTCTTTGTTTTCCTTCTCTTTTAGATCGCCCCAGTTGTATCCCTGGCTTTTGACAGAGATTTTCCTAAACATTCTGGGTTTAGGAATGTATATCCAAATTAAAAGGTTTTAGTGTGATAAGAAAAAGTCACTTTGTATTCCAGGAATTTATTAACATAAATTACTTTTCAGCTGAATCAGCTACTGAAAGCTAAATTTGGAAAATGTTCTAGCTCATATATTCTTACCGCTCCTAAGAAGGATTCAAAACTTGATCATGTTTCTATGTTTTATAGAAGGAAATGTGTCCCAGCTTCACTGCAATATTCATTGAGTTGGGAATTAACCTCCCCGAAACCAAGACCATATAGAAGCAATGTATATGATTGTTCTATTTGGTTCAGCCACACTATTAAAAATTTTATTATTGGGCCTCCGTGGTGGCGCAGCGGTTGAGCTCTGGGCTGCAAAGCTGCCCGCAGCCTCTGCAGCGCTGGTTCAATCCCAGCCGCCGGTGAGGGTCCCACATGGCACGCAGACCTCTCCTGCCACGTCCGCTGCTCCCCTCAGCAGTGTACTTCGTCAGTCTGCCTGTTCTGCTCTCTGCTCTGGCTCTGGTGAATTCTCTCACTCTCCTGCACGTCTAACTGTACCCCAGTGCTTGTATAAATAAATAATAAATAAATCTTTAAAAAAAATTATTATTGTCCAGTAGAGTGGAAGCCTTTTTGAAGACTAAATGTCTGGTTTCCTAATTATGAACTCTACCAGCTCAGCATTTAAACGATAGTAATTTCTTCCAGATTTGACTCTTGAGTCATCTGTGTGAGTTGTAAGAAATATAATAACAATTACGACTTTTTTTTAAAGATTTATTTATTTATGCAAGAAGTGGGGTACAGGCCAGAGGCTTGGGAGGGTGAGAGAATTCACCAGAGACAGAGTAGGAAGCAGAACAGGCAGACAGACCAAAAATACTGCTGAGGAGAGCATCATGCGAGACAGGAGAGGTCTGCTGCGCCATGTGGGTATCTCCCTGGCCGGCTGGGAATCAAACCTGTGCTGCAGAGGCTGCGCACTGCCCCTCAGCACTGTGCTTAACCCGCTGCGCCACCGGAGAGGCCCCAATTACAACTTTTGTTACAACCACTAGTCTCTGTCATTACAACAACTCCTACTGAATATCCATTGAAGGACTTTGATGATCTGAAATCACCCAAATTTCCCATCTGAGTTAGTCACTTGACCCTTCATCTTTGGGAAGCAAATAAATTTGGTGTCACTAGACTAAGAATCCTTCTGACATGTCCACATAAACCATGCTGCATGGCCTCTGCACATTTGGTAAAGATGACTTATATTTCACAGGGTTAGCATTTATGTGACAACACTTTTCTCCTTTCACGTGTCCCCTTATGTACAATTAAATTGTTGAGCTAAAGGGCCTGAACCTGTTGAAACTGTGAGTTAATTTATGCGAAGTATATGAGCCCATACACATAAATAGAACTTTATTTTGGGCCTCCCCGGTGGCGCAGCAGTTGAGCGTTGGGTTGCGATGCTGCCCGCAGCCTCTGCGGCGCCGGTTCGATCCCCAGCTGCTCCCCGGCCACCGGAGGAGGGTCCCACATGGCGCGCAGACCTCTCCTGCCGCCCGCTGCTCCCCTCAGCAGTGTACTTCGGTCCTTCTGCCTGCTCTGCTCCCCGCTCTGGCTCTGGTGAATTCTCTCACCCTCCCGCGCTTCTGACTGTACCCAGTGCATGTATAAACCAAACAAACAAACAAACAAACAAACAAAAAAAAAAAAAAAAGAAGTTCTTTGTGCAAAAAAAAAAAAAAATAAAAAAATAAAGCAGTTCCATGGGATCTCATGAAAATTGTGCTTATACTGTCATGTGATGTGAAACATGTGACCTGCTTGAAACTTTGGTAAGATAGAGAACCTCTGTTCCTTTTCTTAATTATGGAGTTGCTGGGTTTAATTAATACCTTAACACTGTCACCTTGCGCTGAAAGCTCTTGTAATGGTGTGCAGAAATTCCCTATGACCTCCAGAGAGGGAGGGACAGCTCTAGTTCTTATTGCCTGCATAAAGAGGCTCATACTAGGATATGTGCCTGGTGTGCTCATTTCATCCCTACAAGAGCGGAGAATGGAAACCCCATCCTTCCACACTCTCCTACTCACGTTCCCATGTTATAAGCTGCTCCAAAAAGCACATAACAAGATCACACTAGAAACACTAAGTATAGGAGTTAGAGCTAGACTCCAGCTCTGCCCTTTACTAGATGGAAGACTTGGGCAAGTTTCTGTGTGCCTTGATTTCATTTCTGTGGTGGGGTATACTGCTTGGTGTATCTGTGAGGGTGAAATAGGTTGAGATACCTAAAGTGTGTTGACTAGTACCTGGTACATCCCAACTGCTCAGCTGACTGTTTTCATTAATATGATAGTAAAACAGTTCTCATTGAGTTTCTACAACTGAATATACAGAGCGTCTTGCTGCTTTGCTTCTCCCTTGTATAAAAAAAAAAGTTCTTACTAAATATGCATCTGAAATATTTAGATGATTCAATTTAAATTACAATGATAATCATACATCATGTGTTATTTAAATGACATGGAAAACTGGCAATTATGAGAGAGTAACCAAGAAGTACCGAGCAGATGCAGAAGTGAAATCAGCCCTATTAATAAGGGAAGCATCTCTACACCTCCAAGAATATGCACGCACGTGCGTGCGTGTGTGCACAAACATACACACACACACGAATAAAATCCATTCCATGCAACCCCCTTATCATTGTTAGGGGGAAAGGACATGACCACCCTTCCCTCTCACTACTGGTTTCCCCAAACCCCCTGGACAGAGTCTTTGAGATGACCACTATTTGCTTCCTCTCACCAGACTTGGATTTTGCCACCTATACGTTTGATTGGATCCTTCCCCCAAACAATGTAGATTCCTTTGGTTCCAGGGACC